GCAGCTGTTTCCCACCCGAAACGGCGATGCTGGAACCTTGTGGGCTCAGGCGTGGGCTCACGTGCCCGCCTTTGATGTTGAGTGGGAGGAGGGACGGGTGCCAGGAGAGAGGAGGGCGGCAGGGTTGGCGCCCTGTCCTGGCCACAGGAGTCCCCGCATGGGACTCCTGTCTTCACACAAGCAGGGACACTGTGGGGCCATCTCCAGCTGCTGTGAAATCCTCATTTCAGAGGTCATGCTTTTTAATTCTAGAATTTGCGTCGGGTTCTCTCTGACAGTTTCTGTTTCTCTGCTAAGATCCTCCATCTGTTCATTCACCTTGTCCTGAAGACCCTGGACATGCTCCCAGGCCGGGTCTTCCATGGTTTGAACACGCTCTTACTCCTTAGGCCTGGTTTTCCTGAGGTTCCCAGAGACGGCCTGACCTCTTAGTCACAGCGGGCTTGGTCCGCACGCCGGCTCCCGGGAAACTCCCTCTGCACTCATGAGGCAGGCAGGTGGAAAGGCAAGTACAGTTTCAGTGCTGCTATGAAAAGTTTTGAACTTGAGAGCCTTTTGAAAGAGCCTCAGAGACCACTCCCCCAGGGTCCCGGGAAGGAAAAAAGAGAGACTGTGTGCTCATGGGGCTCTCTTCACTGCCTGGGCTGGGGTCGCCATTCAGCTCTGGGGTCGCCAGTCAGCTGCCACGCCCACAGGTGCCAAGTCCGTGGACTACACAGGCACAGCCCAGCCTGGCCAACACCCATCACACACTCGCCCGTCCAGGTCCCTGTCCCACAACCCCCAGCTGTCTCACAGCCCAGGCTGCCATCGGGGCGAGACCACGATCTGCTTGCAGCCACCGCTCTGCACCCCCACAAAACACCCCAGGCCTCAGAACAGTCCACGTGGGGCTCCCCTTTCATGGAGGACAGCCCCGCATGACCTGCTGTCTGACGCCCCTACAGCGGGCTCCTCCACCCCACCCAGTTTTGTAAGTGGTGGGCAGCTACCAGAAGCAAATCAGCTTAAAAAATAAATCTAGACACAGACTATACCCTTTACAAAGTGGATCACAGACCTAAATGTAAGATCAAAACTATAAAGCTCCTAATTTAACAAAGGAAAAAACCTCGGTGACATGAATATGGAGGTGACTCTTTATGTAACACTGTCAAAGGCACCAGCCGTGAGAGAAAGAATTGATAAGCTGGACCTCATTAAAATTAAAAACTTCTCCTCTGCAACAGACAGTGTCAAGAGAATGAGAAGACAAACCATAGACTGGGAGAAAATATTTGCCAAAGAAATACCTGATAAAAGACTATTAACCAGCCTGGCCAGTGTGGCTCAGTGGTTGGGCACTGGCCCATGCACCAAGAGGTCACGGTTCAATTCCCAGTCAGGGCACATGCCCAGGTTGTAGACTCAATCCCCAGTAGGGGGTGTGCAGGAGGCAGCCTATCAATGTTTCTCTCTCATCGATGTTTCTCTCTCTCCCTTCTCCCTCTCCCTTCCTCTCTAAAAGTCAATAAAAACATATTTTAAAGAAAAGACTATTATCCAAAATATATAAAAATTCTTAAAATTCAACCATAAGAAAACAAACAACCCAATCGAAATACGGGCCCAAACCTTCACAGACCCCTCACCAAAGAAGATACACAGGTGGCAGACAGGCAAACGGAAAGGTGCCCCATGGCCCACGTCACTGGGGAAATGCAATGAGATTCACTGCACACCTGTCGGCACGGCCAGAACCCAGAGCACTGACACCACCACGTGCTGGCGAGGACGTGGAGCAGCGGGACTCTCGGTCTGCTGGTGGGAATGCAAAACGATACACTCACTTTGGAAGACAGTTTGAAGGTTTCTTACAAAATTAAGCATACGTACTCTCACCATACAATCCAGTAATCATGTCCGCGGTGTTTACCCGAAGGAGTTGACAACGATGTCCACAGAGGAACCCGCACGCGGATGTTACAGAGCTTTGTTCACAACTGGCCAGCAGCTGGAAGCAACCAGGATGTCCTTCCACTGGTGAAGGGCTAAATCAACAGTGGTCCATCCAGACAATGGACTGTCACTCAGAGCTCACAAGAAATGAGCCGTCCAGCCATGCGAAGGCGTGCGGGAATCTTAACGGCACATTATGAGTGAAATAAGCCAATATGAAAGGCTAATGCCATGATGCCACCCCTGTGACATTCTGTAAAGGCAAAACTGTGGAGACACGAGAAGATCAGTGGGTGCCAGAGGCTGGGGGAGGGCTGGATTGCAGAGCACAGGGTTTTTAGGGCAGTGAGGATGCCCGACACGATGCTACAATGATGGATGACACATGTCATGATACATCTGTCCAGACCCACAGGATGTACAACACCGACAGCGAACCTCATGTAAACCACAGGCTCAGGTGGTGACGCGTTCATGCAGGCTCATCGGTGGGGGTGTTGGTAATGGGGGGCTGTGTGGGTCTGGGGCAGGGTAGACGGGAAGTCTCTGTTCCCTTCACTTAATTTTGCTATGAACCTAAAACTGCTCCATAAAACAAAACATTTTTAAACATTGTCTTTGAGAATGCCCACCCTGCCCTGCTTTTTCCTGGTGCTGACGGCACACGCAAAAGGTGCCCTGTGCATGGGCATGTGCATGTGTAAGTGTGCTGTGGAGCATGTGTGCACACTGCAGGCTGTGGCGACCTGTGTGTGCGGGCATGTGCGTGTGTAAGCATGCTGCGAAGTGCATGTGCACACTGCAGGTAGTGGCAACCTGTGTGTGTGGGCATGTGTGTGCAAGCATGCTGCAGAGTGTGTGTGCACACTGCAGGCTGTGGCGACTGTATGAGGCACACGCACCTCTCTGCACTGACCAGGACACTGTACATGTCCTGCATGGAAACCCAATGGTCACACTCCGAGTGAAACAGACACATCTCACTACAACCTGGTCAAGCAGGACGCCGTCCGGTGGGTTCACAGCGCCGGCTGCTGGGAGGGGCCTCCCCAGCCATAGAAATGGAGAATCTGATGCTGACGATCAGAGGACTCCAGTGGGCGGGACGAAGCCTGCAAAGGCTCCGGCAGCAGTAAGCTCAGTGGGTAAGGAAGTGAGTAATGAGCAGCACAGCTCTCATGATGAATAAGATGCATGTGCTGCCCTCGGCCTCGGCACCACAGAGCCCCACACATGACGAGGCAGCCATGACAAGGGAGCGGGTTTGGACCCGAGAGAAGCAAATAACCACGGATCCTTGGTGGTGCCGCCAGGCAGTGCAGAGTCGTTCATTTATAGACTTTTCTATAACCAAGCGTTTTGTCTCAGATGTGGCTAATGGTGAGGGAGCGGTGACACATGAGAACATGACCAGAGCTAACCCTGAGTGCTGGCTCGGCCACAGGGGCTCAGGGACCCACGTTCTGCCGGGACGGCACTCGGAGCTCAGGTTAGACGGCAGGACTCTCAGCAGGCCTGACGTGCAGCGGGCCCAGCCCTCCACACGGTGTTCTTAGGGCTGAGCGTGAGTTTTGACCGTGAGCCCTGGACCTGGGTGCCAACAGGAGGCCCCTGTTGGTGGAGACTCTGCTGGGAGTTGGCTGGCACAGTCAGAGAGCGGGGCATGGCAGCCACAGCGGCGCTTCTAGAACCGGCCGACCCTCCCTGCACCCCTGTCAGACCACGAACCCGTGTTCACTTAAAAACACCAGGTTGTAGGAGACAAGCCCAGGAGACTCAAGTTGGACGCGCCCTGGAGACACGGCTCATCTTCTCATGACACCGGGACGAGGGCTCCCTGGGCCACAATATCCCTGCTTTGCAGGCACCATGTCCCTGTCCCCAGGGGTAGGGCATAGTCCAGGTTTGGAGGCAAAGGTCCCGAACTCGGACCTGAAGACACCTGGTCAGCCAGTCAAAGGAGAGACAGCTGATGCCGGGGCCACGGACTGGAGGAGTGACCGGGACCTGTGGGTGCTCGGGCAGCATGCAGAGCCACTGTCCAGCGACTGCTTGCCGACTCTAACTCGGACCCAGGCCCTGTGAGGACCAGGGGAGCACGTAGGTACTGCCCTTGTGCGGACAACCGTCAGACGCATATGTGAGGTAACGGAAATGATCAGGAACTGATACGTTAGTGGAGAGACAGGCAACTAGTGAGATGATGGCAAAAACTGGTGTTGGAGCTCCGAGGGACATGCGCAGTGCCGTCCTGGAGCCCAGGGTGAGCCGGTCACGAGGACGCGAGGAGACTGGGACCTGCAGGGCCGCAGGGGCTGGTCCCCCTGAGTCCAGCCACTGGCCCCACTGCCGAGAGCCCCACCTCTATCCACGGCTGCGACCTCACCAGGAGGTGCCTCTAGGAAGAACGATGATATGTCACTAAATAGCCATCACCCACCTGGAAGGCCTGCAGCCAGGCCACCCTGGACCCTCCGCAGCGACAGTGCCGCTCAGCCGGCCTGCCCTGGCCTGGGCACCGCCCCCGCCCCCCATCAAGGGGGTGTCTACAGCGCTGTGTCCCCGAGCCCCAGTCTCCAGAGTAGGACAGAGCAGCCACCGTGACCTTGACCTTGAACACTGTGCAGACTGATAGAGCTGGACTTCCAGGGCACGGCTGTCACACGGACACCGTTTCGATGACACTGGAACCAATCCCTCTCCCCTCTCTTCCTCCCCGTAGGTCTCATCTCGCTTTCCGTTAGCACTTTGTTCCCTTCCCCAACCCGGACTCCTGAGCACAGCCCGTGCCCGCTGTCCCGTCAATGCCGCCGGCCGAGGCACAGCTATCTTTCCTCGCACACTCGAACACGCAATTATCAAGACAAAACCAGCTCACTCACGTCTCGGCGCCCGAGCCCGTCTGTACCCCCCTTGCTCGTCTTTGGAGGGGGCTCCCTCCCGCCCTCACAGGTACAGACCCCGCCCTGCCCTCCTCGGGCTGTGGCAGGAGCGCCACCGCACACTCAGGCTCTGTGCCCAGTGACACGACCTCGTGGGACTGGCCTGGCGGGACCGCTCACCGGAGATGACGGAGTCGTTCAGCACCTCTTCGTCCTGGTACAGGAGCAGGTCGTCCTGGAGCTCCGAGCGCACCAGCAAGTTCTCCTTGTTCTCCTCCGACGCCTTGGCCACCGCCCACTTGCCCTCTGAGGCGCCCTCCACGCTCCAGGCCTCCTCCCGCTCCTTGGCCCGCTCCACGCTGGATGCTCGCGACAGGCGGACGTCCACCCGCTTCTTCGGGGACCCTTTGCTGTCCCTCCCTTGAAAACTGAATCAGAAAGGCAGTTCAGGTCAGACGCTGTCCCTTCACCTGGGAAAGCTGCAAAATGGACGGGCAGGGGTGCTTGTCTGGGCACCGTAATGACCCAGTACCAGAGCGATGTCTCGGCTTCTGTCCCGAACTCACAGGACCAGAAGCGAGAGGCGTGCGCACACGGCACTGAGTCGGTGGCAGGGGCCGCTGAGAACATGGGGCTCTGAGCAGCACAGACACGCGTGTAACAAAACCTGCCTCACCGCCCACAGCAAGTGCTCAGGCCAAGGCTCCCGAGAGCTGAGAAGGGCACGGTGTCCGGCGTTCCCGCCAAGCCTGGGTAGGCCCATTGTCCACTTTGCCCGCCAACAACTTGCTTCTCCTTCACATGTGACAAACCTCGGGAGATCAAGACCAGGGCGAGCCTTGGGAGCCACCTGGGACCCCTCACAGAGTGTGACCAAGACCAGCCACAAACCAGCTGCAGAGCTGGGTGCAAAATGCAAATGCTGGCTCTTTCCAAAAAAAGGATTGAGAACTTCAAGATGGTGACACAGAGCAGTGAGCCAGCCCGGAGACCTCCCAGGTGCACCCCACAAGCGGCCAGCGGGGAATTCGGCACACAGGTCCCTCGGCCAAGGCAGGGCCTACCTGTCCTGACGGTGCTTGGTGGCCAGTGCCCGGTGCAGCTCCTCGATCACGCGGCTGGGGGGCAGCGGCCGGTGGATGGTGGTGGGATGCGGAGACCCTGTGGGCGTGGGAAGCTGTCCTCGGGGGGGAGGGTCCGTGTTCTTCCCGCCGGAGTCCTGGAGGAGCCCAGCCTGGCCTGGGGAGTGAGAGGCCAAGGAGAAGCTGAGTTCGCAGGCAGGGAGGCGACAGGAGCCAAGGAGCAGAGAGGACGCAGGTCCCTGCCGGGTGAGCCCGCCAATGCCAGCGTGGCTGGGGCTCCCCCCGGGGCCCGGGCCCCACTGTCCACCAGAGCCACACAGAGCAATGCCGCCGGCCTAGCTGTGCCTGCCCAGGGGACCTTTCACCACCTCTCTCTCAGGTGAGAAACTGAGGCCCAGAAGCCAACTCCAGGTCGTGCACCTTCAGGAGGGGGTGCGGACTGGGAAGGGAACCTGGCAGGTGACCCAGGTGTAGTTGAGGCCACAGGACCCCAGACAAGGAGCTGACCGTCACCCGCTGGGCCGGGGCAGGAAAGCTCGCCTGAGGGGTAGGTCATGCGTCTCCAGGGTCCAGGCCAGTCAAGGGGCAAATTCATACAGAGGGAGGGTGAGGACTGCGGCTAACAGGAGAGCGGGTCCAGCTTAAGGGGCTGCTGCGACTCGGGGCTGCCGCATACGAACTTTTCAAAACAAGCCAGAAATTTGGACTACAGGTGAAAATGCTCCTCTGTGTTTGTACATACTTATAGCTAATGCTTCAATAGACTTTAATATGTTTTAAATGTTGGCTACCCATTTTTTAAAAAATATCAAACACCGTATAAGCCCAGCACAGCACGTCCGAAGTGGGATCTGGGGCAGGTGAGGATGCCCTGGGCGGGCTGCTGGGTCTCAGGCCAGAGAGCGCCCAGGGGACTGGCTTGTGTGCTGTCCCCTGTGCCAGGTAAGCCCAGGTGAGGGCCTTTCTCCTCCCTGCTGCCACCTGGAGTTCACAGGATGAAGCCAACGTTTTCCCAAAGAAAAGGGAAAGGACCGTGGAGAACATGAAGACGCTCTCCCAAATGTCCCTCAGCTGTGAGAGCCCCAGGCCCCAGCCCTGTGGCCACCCTCCTGTCCCTTCCGCTCCTGTTCCAGTCCCCATATCCGTGGGTGACCGGGTGACGTATCCGATTTATGCCCCGGGTGCTCTTCTATACAAGGTGAGCTGACAGGGTAAATGCTGAGAGCACCGTGTGCCCGCCTGAGGGCTGTGGTCAGGACAGGCACTTGGAAGAAGGGACAGGGATGCACTGACCTGGTGAAGTGAGAGGAAAGAACATTCTAGCAGGGAAAGTGAGGGGGGGCGTGTGGAGGGTCTGAGCTTTGGCCCCAAATGGCTCGAGTCTCCATTAGCTGGGGGACCCGGACAAGCTGCTGGAGCGCCTGAGCCTCCGTTTCCTTCACTCAAGGACTGATGAGCTATGTGCCCTCGGGGTCCTTGGGTGCCTGGGCTGGTGCACCCACACCGGTAAGCAGTCATATCACAGGTGGAAGTCACGGCCTGGGAGCAGACCTGCTGGCTTCTCTGCTGTCATCTGCCACCTCTGTCCTCAAGGCTGCCAGCCAGGACTCGCTCCTAAAGCCCCTCCTAGGAAGGGCCTGCCCTTCCCGAGACCAGCGCCGCCCCTGTTCCAGCAATTATGGCCCAAGAGACGCACCAGCTTGGAGAGGAAATGTCTCAGCTACCTGGACTTGCTCAGCTGGCGCGGCCAACACTGCAGACGGGAGGCCTGGGGCCTCTGCCTGGCCATGCTTCCCTCTGACCACCACCCTAACCTGCCTTCCGGGACAGAGCTCACGGGAGGGCGTGGTTATCAGTGAAACAATGAACAGAGACAGTGAGAGAGA